GGAAGAAGTTTTGGGGACTGAACAGTGAGACCTTGTGGAGCCTCCCGGAGGTGGCGTCTAAGTAACCCTAGCGAATGAGCCACCTGAGGCGACGTTTCTTCTTATTATTTATATATATATTATATATATATTTATATTATATATATATATATATATATATATATATATATATATTGATAAAATCAAACAGGAAAAAGGGAAACAATGGAGCATGTTTTTATTGTTGATCTACATGATATATATATATATATATATATATATATATATATATATATATATATATATATATATATATATATATATATATATTGTGCAAGTAAATCACTGTAGGTGCGCGTGATCCAGGTATATGCTGATAACCACAAGGAAAAAAGAAAACACGAAGTTCCCAAAGCCTTTCGTGTAATTCACATCTTCAAGGGTGAGTACGGACTAAGGAGAAATACATAACAAGGCAAATATATATATACAGTAGAGGAAGGTGAGACCAAGTCACAATAGTCAGGTATTAGGTAGTGACCCTACTAATCTTCAAAAAACACCGCAGCAGTCGGTAGTCAGGAAAAAAGAGGTAAAGATGACCCAACCCTATCACCTACAATATGAGTCATGCCGAGGGCCAACTACCCACATCATGGACCAGCAGTATTGTTGTACCAACATCGAAACCAGGACAGCCTGATGCTTTTCGTCTCATATCACTAACCAGCTGCCTGTGTAAAACCCTTTGAAGGATGGTTCTTGGCAGACTCTTATATAGAATCAGAGAACACATGCTCCTAACATAAATGGTTTCACCCAGGTAGTTGGTAAGCATAATTGCATCAACAATATTCCTAATTGCATGGTGATGAAGGCACAGATACACCACATTTCTTTGAATTTAAAAGCTACTGATATTGCCAATAGGCAACTTGATAAGCTGCAGCTTGAACGAAGCCAAACTGGATATAGGCGGTAGGCAGTTACACTCGATAAGTGGTTACTTCCAACCAACAGAACGTATTGCCAATTGTTTCAGGTTACAAAGTGAAGTTAAATATGCAACTTCTGGTACCCTCAAGGTGGAGTATTTAGCCCCACTTTGTTCAATGTTCTTATGAATGCATTATTAAATTTAATACCAGATAACCCCAGCATTATCTCAATCAGCTATGCTGATGATATTCTTATACATACTAAAACTCATCGGGGAATGCAACACCTGGAACCATGTATATGCAGCCTGTGAACACCGGTCTTATTATTCCACTGAGAAAACTAAGGTGTTCAATAAACAAGTTGGTGGGGTCGTACATGCACCCCTGCCAAGTCTGGGTTAAGATAGTGTCAACACCATTGGACTATGCTTCTTCTTTAAATATCTTGGTGTTTCCGTCCTTGCACCACCTGCCATACAACAGCTAACCCGCCAATGTACTGACAGACTGAGACTCCTTAGAAATGTAGCGGGGTACAGCCTGCACTATGGTGCTAATATTGGAATTGTTAAAACAATTTAGGCTATATAAGATCTCTGATAGATTACCACACACCAGCCCCAGTCGGTCAAAGACGGGAAAGGCGTTGACAAGCTCGATAAATGCAAAATATAGCCCCAGAATTATTATCCTAGATGTCCCATGAGCACCAGTACTTATTATGAGGAAAGAACTAGGTATACCCAGTGTTGCAAGATAGAAAAATTGAAGCTAACCCATGATTGCCCTGGAGGCTTTGGGTGTGGCATCCTGATAACATTGTTTTAAAATTGCTAGAATTTATGAACCATGGGACTACTGAGTCTAAATGATCCAAATTCACAGCTACACATAAGAAGATGTTTGACTAGGACCACTCCAAAGTGGAGACACAACAGTGCTTCTGCCAATTCTGGCGGACAGTTCCCTTGATATCGGCTACCGACGTATCCGCCTAAAAATTAATTATACAAAGCATTTATCTCCAACTCACTGCCAAATTGAGAGCTTCGAACACATACACACTCTACAGACTGATGATACATCACACACCATCTCCACTGATGGATTCCCCAAACACCGCCTGTGGAGGGCTGAAGTGCTATTAGACTCAACCCGACGGTAATATAATTGAGAAAGAGTTAGAATTAACAACTGGGCATCCACTCTACAAACTGAATTAGTTGCCATACCACAGCTATTAAATTCATTGAAACCACTGTTACTGACAGTCTCATCATCACTGACTCTCTATCCTCACTCACTGCCCTTTGGTACCTCAGATCAGGTTGTCACGCTTGTCTCTGAAGCCAGACACAACATTATGCGTGCCTTGTTGACCGTGTCAGGGTCAAACGGTTGTGGATCCCTCTGCTATAGGCCCCCATAAACATGACAGTGAGTTGATGCTCCTCGCCAAACTCGGCGTCTAACAAAGACAATTGCTAATACAATTTGGGTCTGTCAGCAACCCTTAAAATCAAATAGAAAGAACTTATTGATGAGTTTGACGTGCAGACAAGCAAAACAGGCACTAGTCGATCCATAGGTTACCATGATGAGATGTACTGGCGAAACATGGCGGGAGCAAGTAATAAGATCACTAGATTTACAAGATGTTGTAAACTGCTAGATTAAGGGTTAGACATAAGTACTCGGCAGTATGTTCCTCAAGCAGATGTAAACAAAACTAATGTAAAGTGTGTGTAATATACATATGCACACACACTCCTGGAACACTCACCTCCCTCGACTGTGTGGAAGATAGAACCTTTTAGGGACAGGTCCAAGCACACTGTGTGTGAAATGGCACAACACTTCATCTCTAACGGCAAGATAGCCGACATATTAAGATTGTATCCACTTTTTTGCACTTAGTAACTATATCAGTTCTCATGTATAGAACCAAATACGCAATGTGCTTGAATACTTCTCACGTAAATGTGAATAACAAAGTGTGCGGCCAGACATACTGCCTCACACGCCTGTACTCACGCATTTGTGAATAAGTTACCCTTTATGTATAGAACTAAACAAATAATGTTATTGAAATACTGTGTAACATTCAGTGCCATAATATCCTGACAACAGGGGTTAATTATTGTGACCCGTTGTAAACTCTACTCTATAATCCTTTTGCGCTACTGCTCACAGGAAGAGTGTAAGTACATAAAGAAAGGCCAAAAGCAAAAATCTCAAAATCATATATAAATCTTCTTAATTACGAAATTATTCAGTTTGTATCTATATATATATATATATATATATATATATATATATATATATATATATATATATATATATATATATATATATATATATATATATATATATATATATATATATATATATATATATATATATATATATATATATATATATATATATATATATATATATATATATATATATATATATATATATATATATATATATATAAATCGAATTAAAACATAATAGTTACTCCTAAATTAATTTCATTTTCTCTCTTCATAAATATGCTCTGTGACCGTCAACGTAAACTATTGTAAAAAGTTCACCCACCAAAAAGTAATCTTATCTTTACCCAATATTATCAATATATAAACTACAGTGCCGCACCTTTAATTAGTGAGATATAAAGTACAAGAGAATACATTCAGAAACATCTTCACACAGAGGAGGGTAAACCTATAGAATGGTCTACCAGCTTCAAAATAGCCCCTGACAAAACTATTAACAGAGAGTTGATGGTGAGGAGTTGATGGAAAAGGTCTTGATATGTTGCTCAGTGTTTTATCTCGTATTTTTCAGGGGTGGATCCAGGGGGTTCTGGCTGTCCGGACCCCCCTTTTCACCAGAAAATTCCAATCAATTTTCTTTAATGTAGTATTGTACTCAAGCAGTTTTGTATAGAAAAAAGTCATTACTATTGACCTCAGAATATCGCCTAATATCAAAAAGGCCTCAAAGGGCCCATGATATAGGTCAGATAAAAAGTAAAATAAAAATTGGGTGGGCTCGCAGTGCTCGCCATGTTCTCAAACCCTGTTTAATCTTAATGTTACTAGAATAGTGTAATTGCTAACTTTGTTACGAGCCTAAATGCCTTCGTTGTTGAAGTGCAGTAATAACATTGTAACAACAAAAGAACAATGGAGGGATCCTACACAGATCACTGGTCTCCGTTTCTCGGCATGGCCACCACTAGTGGGTGGCCAATAGGTAAATTAAATAAATAGCTTCAATGGCTGCTTGATAATTTTGTATTCACTTAGATTTTATCATCAAGTTTAATAGAGAATTTAGTTATCTGTCTAAACGAAACCGCCAACCTTTACCTCGCCAATTAGCAGGTTATTTTGCTATATTAACATTTCATAGATTATAATATAAGGAGGTGTTCTGCTTTTTTACTCGTGAGCAGCCACTGTAGGTTAATTAAATGAGGTTCACTTGGTTATTTACTTACTTGTACTCACCCGACTGTTACGGGACCCATTTTTTTTATTATATTAGTTCGAGGGAATGGAAAGAGATATCTTGCTTATTAAATTTATTCAACAAAGACGTGATCTGAAGTTATGTGTTTTCCTTATTTCTAACTAGATACACCGTAGGGGAGGGAATCCACTATACAGTACACCCATACTACTACAGAGAAAACACTTAATCAACCTTACTGAGCTCAGTACGGTCGTCGCCAGCCCACGCAAATGCCGCTCACACTACGACACACCCAACGCTAATCTGACTGTACATCTCACATTATCTATTTGTTGTAGGGAGCATATTCTGAGAACTCAATCAGAGTCTGTTTCTTCAAAGATTCTTTAGGCACTTTTCCCCTGATTGGCTAGTTCATAATATGGGCGTAGTCACATCAGTTCTATGGGCGGAGCTATCTTCATGGGTTCTAGGACAACTGCCCCCCCCCCCCATTGCCCATGGAGGTAGAACTACCTCCATGCCATTTTCCGAGTGAATCTTATGTACAGCTGCACCAAAGACCTGACCTGACTTACTGTGGTCATTTTAACCTACCAGAATGAGGATTATCCCATGCCATCAACCCTCGCTGACTTGGTCATACCATCTGAGTATAAGATGACAGCTGATGGTGAAGATTTCCTGTTGTATGATAGGGGACCGAGTGATCAGCGTATGCTTGTGTTTTCCACAGTTCAAAGCCTCAGGCTACTGGAGAATTCAAGTGATTGGTTTGCTGATGGAGCATTTAAAGTTGTACCTGAGCTGTTTTACCAACTGTACACTATTCATTCTCTGGCTTTAAAAACAGTTATTCCTTGTGTTTATGCTCTGCTACCAAACAAACACCGAGCAACATATCAAGACCTTTTCCATCAACTCCTCACCATCAACCCTATGCTCAATCCAAAGACCTTTCTCATCGACTATGAACAAGCTACCAGGAGTGCCATTGAAGAGGTCTTCCCCAACGCAACAGTCAAGGGATGTTTCTACCACTTATCGCAAAACATATATCGCAAGGTGAATCTGAGGGATTACAAGGAAAATATCAAATTGAAAATTCAAATGCTACCAGTTCTGGCATTCATCCCACAAGGTGAAGTGGTTTACTTAGTTGAGACTATGCCACCTGAAGCTGATCCTGTCATGTACTTCGAAGATACATACATTGGAAGGCAACGTCGACATAACAGGCGAGCTCCACGTTTCCCTGTCAGCACGTGGAATATTTATGATCGTGTAGCCAAAGGATGCCATAACCAAATGCAAGCTAACATTACTTCATTCCATCCAAATATCTGGAAATTTCTTGAAGTGTTGAAGAGGGAGCAGACACTGACCAACATCACCATCAACCAGACGATTGCAGGAGATCCAGCACCACCTAAGAGGAAACGTTATCAAGATTCAACAGCCATAATAGCAACTGTCGAACATGACTTAGAGAACCGCCATGTGTTGAACTTTGTGAGAGGGATAGCCCCACAACTTGCAATTTTAGTGTGTGTGTGATATACTGTATGTCAGTCAATTTTTTAAAATTAAATATGACTGATCCAGAGTTTTTTTTGCTTAACCACAATTTCTTTATCAATGTTTTCCTAATAACAGATTTCTAGTGTTAAAAAAAATGTATGAGTTGTGCATTTTGTGTATATAATTATTACTACAAATAAAATATGAAAAGAAAGCATTAATTCTTAGTGTTATTTTCTCCTCTCTATTCAGTTACTTCACTGACAGTGGGGGGGGGGCAATTGTCCCATGGGGGCAGTTGTGCAAGGGGCACTTGTCGGTAGGCAATTGTCCGGGGGGCAATTGTCCAGGGGGCAGTTGTCCTGATACCATCTCCACAGCACTTGGAGTAGGTAGGGATCTGATTACCCGTAAGGGGGAAGGAATGACGACGAATTGAGATAAATGTCGCTTAACAAGCCTTGTAAACACACAGGACCCCACAGGTCAATTTTCAAGTTCCCCTTGTAACAGTTGGCTGGTTGGCCCTCGTGGACATAGCCGTGCGTGGGCGTCGTTTTATTATAAGATTGACATTATGAAGTCAATAACATATCTTGATTATGGTAAAAATCATGAAAATAAGTCTATCAGGTGATCCTTGTGTAATAGCATCTGCTAGCTGGGCAGTGCCACAAGCAATGTGTGTGTTCGTTTGTGTGTTTACCAGTCTTTCTCGTCAGCCATGGACGGATGTCAGCACCCCTGATATCTAGCGGTCGCTTTGTATCATTTGACAGTGCAACGTAATTTTAATAATTTAATTTCCGATGAAATACAAAAAAAAAATACGGGAATGACATACTGTTCTGTTGATAATCTATAGGCCTTCTCTAACCCATTTGTAAGAGGGGGAGGGTTCCCTTTAATACTATTTCATCCCACAAGCTGCTAGTTGTTTTGTAAGGGGCGCATGTCCTCTTTATATCCTGTTCTAGTTATCTTCTAAACCATGGATTAGTCTGGGAACTATGTCATTATTATTATAACACTTATTACTTACAACGGTAGCCTGCCACCACCCAGACTTTTATTGTAATATAACATATCTTAGTGAACTGTTAGGTAGCGTGCTAGCGAGCTTCTAGGCATGTGAGTTACAATAGTTATATTCTGAGAACCAATGGTTAGAAGAAATAGAGCGGTGATACCCGTAGTTTACTAATTTAATATTCATTAACATAAGGAGTGAATAAGATGTTAATTAAGTTCACTCAGACAAGACTGGCCCACTTATGTCTTACTTTACCATTCATAAAATATCTTCAATTACTTATTACATCATTGAACAACTGTTATATTATTTCATTGTCAATACAGATGATTATATAACACACTCGACAAGATCCAAAATTAAGATATTATTAAACACATCCTGTAAGTTCGGAATGAATAACATGGCACTTTAACTAGCATTCAGTTGTAGTACACCTGGTTGGTGGACTCAACTCCTATAACAACAGTACCACTGGTAACACCAACATTCATGGGCTAAACACTCAACCTGGGACAACCACATTTCTGCTAAATATCCCCAATCATAGATACCAATACTGCTCTATACATATAACCAAGATCAATGGACTGGACAAGACTGAGTCCACTGGTCACGGCGACACAAACAGCCGAAGCTCGTTCTCTAGTCGTGCCCTGGGGTAGACTCGGTGCGGTATCTTCACAGTGTTCCCTGGGTAGTCCTGTTCTCGGATTCTAATCTCGCCATATTAAAGAAATCCTTCAAGGACCATCTTGCCCATAGGCGGTTACCTGAACCTCTGTATTGGTGGCAACACAGACAGTGCCTGAGATAATGATGGAGAAGCGTCAGAGAAGTGAATAATAACTCAATCACACACAATCTTTCGTCTAGCAACGACAGACGATATTTACTTTACATTAATTCTTTCACTGGGTAAATGATAATTTCACTGTTACAACATGAACACTGATATTCACAAAATTCACTGAGTTAAACTGACTTGCACCAACGCGATCAGTACACCTCCACCTTTCTCCACATTCTAATCCTCCTTCACTCTCCACCTCTTTCCACATCCTCCTATGCTTTCTTCCGCCTTTCCCACTTCCTTTTACTTCCTCCACCTTTTTCCAGTTCCTTCACCATCTTCCATCTCTTCCTCCCTCTCCTCCTTCACCTCTTCCATGTTAATATTGTACTTGTGTGTTGTTATTATTTGTTCTTGCATATTTTGTTTTATTGTTTTTGTTGTAGGCTTTTCTGTTATTGTTGTTGGTGGTGATGTTGTTGTAGGCTTTTGTTGTTATTGTTGTTGGTAATGATGTTGTATATCTTTATCGTCGTTTTTGTTGTTGTATGTATTCGTCTCTTTGTGATATTGTGATTCTTCTTCTTCTTCTTCTTCTAGATATAATTTTTTCATATTCGGATCTTCACTGAACATTCACACACGAACAGACTTAACATGGATCTATGATTTAAAATTTTGATCTGCTGTCCTGAACATCATCCGATATAGTTAGGTTAGGTTAGGTTTGGTTAGGTTAGGTTAGGTTAGGTTTGGTTAGGTTAGGTTAGGTTAGGTTTGATTTCATTGGCTTAGGTTAGGTTCTGTTAGGTTTAGTTACATTAGGTTTGGTTAGTTCGAGTTAGGGTGGGTTAGTTTAGGTTAGGATGGGTTTGGCTAGATTAGTTTAGGTTAGGTTGGGTTGGATTTGGCTAGATTAGGTTATGTTAGGTTGAGTTTTAATATGATAGGTTAGGTCGGGATTAGTTGGTTAAGGTTAGGTTAAGTTAGGTTGGGTTAAGTTAGGTTAGGTTAGGTTAGGTTAGTTTAGGTTAGGTTAGTATTTAATATTATGTCATGTTTTATACCATGTATCAACTTAAATATCCAATGCAATAATATACTCCTGTACTGGTAAGCTATGGGCCCCTCTAACCCTCCGCCCACCACATAGTACGACCCTGATTGTATGCTGAGTTTATGATGCTGTTCAGATTACAGTACTACAACTCTTATCCAAGTTTGTTTATGATGTGTAAAGGCTGTGTGAACCTTTGTTTATGATGGCAGTCAAAGGTGTACTTCGTTACTTCCGTATGTTGACTGCCTGTTATAATTTACTGCATTCGTCACCTCGTCCGTGTTGTATAAGGTATAATCTTACTGAATTAGACGAAGTAATCACTCTGTGCAGATAACAGAATTAATTTATTCAAGCCAGTAAGTTGGAGAATGATGAAAAAATTAATGGAACACGTAATAGTTTAAAAGAATATAAACCTACGATAAATAATGTTCATTCTAATTTAAAATGTAGTTAAACCATTACAGTAATAACAAAGAGGCACTAGTGTAATGCTATCATGAGTATGGTCTGTACTTTATGTCCGAGAGACACTGCTGTATTTTGATAATGATTTTAAGAGTAATTTGACAAATATCAATACAGTTTAGTTTTCATAGGAGATATTTATGAAGGTTATGGAATAATAGATTAATTAGCTGATATTTCTTGCTATTTTTTTATCTTCCTACTTATCTATTTTTACCTATACCTGTATCTATCACTTTGCCTCTCTTTTTATCTATCTACCTATCCATTCAGATCTGTCACCACACCTGTACTCTGATCCTAACCTGTGACGTATAAAAGGAATCACAAAAATACCAGGTCACGTTTTCCACTTCTATTTGTGTTGCTGCAGCTTACAAGTTATACGAGAAAACCTGGAGAGGATAAACCATCTACAAGCTCTCTGAACAATATTTGCATACACGGAGTTATAAGGGTATATATTCAGCATCAATGTAAGCGATTTGTTATAAATGGAACATTTCTCATTACAGGCATACATTCACATACGCGACCCTTCACAGTGTGTATTGCTGTATACAATACACTGTTAAAGTCGCTGCCGGTATTACGTATACAAAATAGTACATAAAAAGGGGGAACTCAACACTTTTACTCCTCATTCTCTGCTACACACATTTATCAAGACTCGTGTCTGGCACAGCCTGTCTTTTGAGGGCATTTCTGCACATAAGAATAAAAAAAAAGGTAAATATCTTCTATAATTTCCATTGAAAACTTCAAGGTTGAGATACACAAGACCAGGTAATTTTGAAACAGTTAATTAATTCCTGGGAGCTGGGTACCAAGACCCTCGAAGACAACCTGCGAGAGATGAAGACAAGATCCAGTCATCTCTCACTACCTGAACATTGCTTAATATATCCTCACCTGTCTTGCTTGATCATAAAAAAAAATCATAATTACTTTTTTTTCACCTTTTTCACTAATTTAAGATACAGGAAATTGAAACTCACAGGTGTACTTCACACATCCAATATCAAATGATTTTCCTGAGTGAAGTTGAGAGGAGGAAGGAGAGAAAGAGAGACTGGGAGACCTCTGAGTGTTAAGGTACAGATTAATTAACACTGCAAGACGTAAGAGACAGTGGAGAGAGATAAACAGGCAAGAAGGTATAGTATGTACAGGGTGAAGGAGAGACGGTAATAACTAAATGGATATCACAGGTGTACGACGTGATAAACGGTAAACAGTAGGTTGGGAAAGGTGAACGGAAGAGACGGAATCAAGAACAGGAGTTACTGAACAGTAAACGGAGGAGGAGAGCAATTATGAAGAGGTTATAATGAACAGTAAACAAGAAAATAGAACAGTAAACAAGGATATGGAACAGTTAACAAGGACAAAGGACAGTAAACAAGGACATAGAATAGTAAACAAGGAAAGTGAAGTAAACAAGGACATAGAACAGTAAACAAGGACAGATAGTAGTAAACAAGTACAGAACAGCAAACAAGGACAGAAAACAGTAAACAATAAACAAATGATAATAAATTTAAAGAGGATCTAATAGGGAGTAAACAAGTGACAAAAAATTTCAATAAAACAAAGTAAACAAAATCGTGTAAGTTGTGAAGAGAACAAACAATGAACAGAAGATAGCAAACAGTAAACATGAGACCCCAATCGGTGAACAGATGATAGTAGACAATAAACAATAAACAGAAAAGAGTAAAGATAGGAATAAAGTAATAAAGAATGAAATAAACAAAACTATCAAACAAAGGATAAAGTTTTTTATAGATATATTGAAAAGATGAACTCGTAGAGAGATAATAAAGATAACATGGAGAATATTGATAATTAAAGAAAAAAGATGAAAAACAATTATTCGATCATTGTTACTCAGTTTATTAAGATTAATTCCCTGGTAAATGAATGGCCATGAGTGCTGTTTAGAATCGGTTTTTTTTTTTAGGGGATGATTTAAAGTTTTAACAAAAGTAATTCGTCAAATATAAAGAAAAAAAAATCCTTTAACGGACAAAAAAAAAAATTCTTAAAATCTCAGGAAATGGTTAGTAGTATTGAGGCCTTGACATTACTGTATCATGCAAGTGTTTAGCCTCGGTTATGCCCATCAAGGTTATGTGATATGTTAAGGTGAGGCCAAATAGCTACTGGAAGGTCACGGGGATATTCAACGTAGCTATGACTGAGAGACATCGTTTATCAGTAACATATTCTTCTCCTTATTTACCTTATTGTCATCATGTTTAGACTCTCTCGGGTTCATTATTCATACTTCTTATAAACCCTGATTAGTGCGGGCGTTACTAATCATTTCATTTAACAGCTGATCGTGACAACTCTCATGTAAACGTTATCTTTACTCCAACGTCACGTCCAGTTGTTGTGAGATATCCTGTTTTATCTCCACTTGACCCTCAGCTTGCTACTTGGACTCTTCTTCTTTTACGGTTCCTTAGGCTTGAGGAGAGAGAAAGAGGAGGATGAGAAGAAGGAGTAGGAGCTGGAGAAGGAATAGAAGGAGGAGGACTCTTCGTGTGGTTGCGTCAGTCTCAGGTGGTGGAGGAAGTTGAGGGGTCATCTGCGGTTGAGAGGGATGGGGTATGCACGGCGCTGCTCAGTAGGTTTCCTTGACTCGGTCGATCCAATTGATGAACGAGGAAATCCTGGAGTAGACGCCTGGGAAGTGCCCTTTCCCGCACCCGATGCCCCACGACACTAGCCCAACCTGCTTCCAGACTCCGCCTTCAAGTTTCACTAGAGGACCGCCGCTGTCTCCCTACACACAGGGGAGAAAAATGGACTCAATGAAAAGGATAATACCAACTTCTGTCAGTTTACTGTAGAGTATAACACACATAAGAAAACAAAATACATTATTGGAACAGTTATTTGGTTCAGTTTTCTCGACACAGACTTGAAGAGACGTCCAGTACATACAATACCTGAAGGAAAACTTTACTTTATTCAGTCACTGCACACACACACACACACACACACACGCACACACACACACACTCAAGGACACATGATTAGGTTAGATAATGAAGCGATCTCTCGTTCTTGAATGTAACCTCTACGCTCAAGTCTTTCTCATTCACAGCCAATACATTCATGTCTTATGCATGATCATACTTTGACCACTCGCCACGTTCACCTTAATGCTCAGTGAATATTACTTCACCATGCTAAACCAAGAATGACTCTCAATACCAAACATGATTATCTTTAAATGTCTCTTGTTGAACTTGATTACATTAGAATGATCTTACTTGACCTTTGATGACCTCTAAATCACCCTCGTCCACCATATTGACTTTACCTGACCTTTGACTTCCTGTAAAAGCACCTTGAATGACCTGGACTGACCTGACAGGAGTCCTTGCCGAAGGTGCCAGCACATAGGTAGGAGTCAACGATACCACCAGGAGCTGAACGTCCGTACTTCGCTCTACAGTCGTTGTTACTCACAACCTTTAGCCTCACCCGAAACAGTGTCGACGGCTGAGGGCCCCCTGTAGGTGAGACATAGTTTGGCGTTATTAGCTGTAATCAGTGCTGGTAGCTGGTAATTGAATTGCGTGAAGCTATCTAGAGAGAAGTAGCTGGAATTATAGGTAGACATGTACGATGAAGTATCTAGAACAGCTGATTAGTAGACAGTTATCTAGTGGGAAAATAATATTTAGTTTTATAACAAATATCTTGTAAACAAGTTTAAATATTGCATCAAGAGAGGTGATATGAATGGCTTTGTTTGTTTTAATCAACTGATGGCCTAAATTTAAGAGGCTAGGTTAGGTTAGCTTAGGTTAGGTTAGGTTAGGTTAGGTTAGGTTAGGTTAGGTTAGGTTAGGTTAGGTTAGGTTAGGTTAGGTTAGGTTAGGTTAGGTTGGGTTAGGTTAGGTTAGGTTAGGTTAGGTTAGGTTAGGTTAGGGTTTGAGGATTACTAACTCTCAAGGGTCTGACCTTCATACATGCTGCCCCAGCCTGCCACGGTCACCTCCTCCCCCTCGTATCTCTTGCTGCTACGGTCCAGACACACAGGCCTCACTTTATTGTTGTACTCTGCCGGCTTGTTTAGTGTCAGCATGGCCACGTCGTTGTACTGTTGGGCACCACTGATAGTTAATACACGACATATATTCACTCACCACCAGATTATTATTATCTATCGAAAACTCATGAGGTGGAACATTGTTGAAATTGACAAATTGTAAATTGGTCTCATGCTGATTAGGAACTCCTGCTTATTTCATCTGATGATTAATTACCCCATTGGTACCCTAACCTAACCTAACCTAACCCAACCTAACCTAATTCCCCCATTTAGCATTAGGGTGTTTAAGTATCGTATGATATAAAGTGAGGGTTTTCTATATACTTCATGAGATTCACACATATTAGTTAATCGTACTGTATGTAACTTTTTTCTGCATACCAAGTCTTTTAGAACTAATTTTCATACATTTATTCTACTTGGTTAAATTTATGACCATTATTACAGGTAACAGCTATGAGGTATCAACTGGACATGAAGAGTGAAAATAAATGTAATTCTTGATTGTGTCTTCAGCCTTTGGCCAAACTCATACATGTTACTGTAATATAGCCAAACCAGATACAAACACTTTACAAGCTGAATTATATATTAATACAGGTGACATGACTATTCTCACCTCACTTTATCTTAATCTAATTACTAAATACTTAGACAGAAATGTTATTTTAACATGAGTGAATAATATAACTGTCTTGAGAATACCCAAGTGTCGATGAACAGGCTGTGAGGTCCATAATATGAACGCACAGATGGTTCGATAAAAAAAAATCGTTTACCTCATATGTTTGGTGTGGTTTACTTCTGTACCTGATAAAAAAAATTTAAACACGTGTACAATATGTTAATTGACAACTGCTGATCTGAAAAGTTAATTCTTGAACCGGTGATTTTTATTTTCTGGTTGTAGTATTATATTTTGTGGAAAATTAGCCAATGGGGTTTTTCTCCTGTGAGATATTAATCATTACTATATGTCTAATATATTTTGTCCGGGATAGATTTTGGTTATGTGGTAACATGGGTGACACAGGCTCAGAGAGATAACTTCCCCCACCGTCCGTGTACTTAATAACGTACGAGTTTCTTGGAGTCGTAGTCCTTGTGCCTCACCACCCTGGTGACCTTGAACTCCTGTACTGATCGCTCAACGGCGCGGATGTTGTGGGCGCCTATCATCACCTTCAGGTTCTGGATGTCGTACTGACTCATGCTGGAGGAAAGAGGGAGAGGATGCTGGTTTTGTTTACCTTTTAGAGCTGACTTGTGAAGACGTGGCATTAAAGATCAAGTTTACACACACACACACACACACACACACACACACACACACACACACACACATGCCTAGCTTATATACATGCACAAAATATTAGTTAACCAAACATATTAAAAGTTTCCAGTTGTAAGCCTTGACCAGCAGATGGCAGCATGGGTGAAAGAGTTTACTTCACACAGGCAATCTGATTACTCTTTGTCAATGTATTTCAGGACATTCCAGCAACATTGTATGCGTTTCATCAACGAGAAATCATGCCAATTACATGTTCATGTTGTTGTGTTTCCAGATGTACTGGCAGAGGTTCACATGAGATGAGCGGCTGTGCTTCATGCACGGAGGATTTATTGTGAATATAAATGTTCTCAAGAAGGAACCTGATGACTTAGCATCATCAGTGAGTTTATGTGAATATTTACAATTAATGTTAATGATCTAGTCCGTAATGCCAGCTGAGGATGTAGATAAATATGTTTTCTCTTCTCTCTCTCTCCTATCCATCATTTTCGTCCGTTCTTGTCGGCATCTGCCCCCAAGATGTGTGAGATTTTCGAAATTCATCTCACACATCTTGGGGGCAGAGAAGAGATAAGAACAAAACAGAGCCAGAGTGACGACCTTTTGTTTACTTTGGTCGTATGACAATGATGTTAATTTAACTCATGTTATTATAGATTAAACAAACTTACAGTATGTGCATGTTAACAGATAATTGTTCTATTTATTCAATTTTCCGATTTGTTTCGGCTCACTAAATTTTAATAAAGTATGAAAGGTCGAACTGTTATTATAGACCTAATTAAGAAATTTGGAAGCCTTGGTTGAGACCTGAGATGGCAGATAGCATAGTTATTGTTTTCATTATATTATTTAATGACGGCAATTTTCACTATTACGTACTCTTTATATCTAATGCTATACATTGTGTGAAATAATGGAACTAAATAAAGTACACGAAGACAATAATAGTTTTCCAATTCTGAACATAAAGTTTTATCCAGGCCAATAATTATCTCAGTATGATTATCCTTACTATTTTCGGGTGTCCAATAATAAAGAAAAGTTACATTATGTTTGGGAAGACACCATAACATATTTGGTATATTTTTAGGTGAAGAAACACGCAAAATACTAATAGATTTCCGAGTAATGTGTTATCACTGTTCTGCCAGGTACGCCTTCACTCGTGCTGCCATCTGTTTACAGAGTTTTACACCTGGGAAGGCCATTACTTGACGGATCTCTGCATCTGAATTTTCCTACGTGACCCTGACTTAACACTCACCTTTATCATGCCGTCACGTGTGTAAACTCGCTGAAAAACGTGTTAACAGAGCCTAAACAAACGTTCCTTGTGACTTGTGTGGCAACCTTGAGACAGGCAACCGCTCCTTCCTTCATGATTACCAAATGATGATTGCTGCTTCATCTCATCTCTCTATCCCTTACTTATTTCTTATCTTTATCGCGTCTATTGCTTCTCTGTTTTTCTATTTTTCCTCCCTCCTTCTTTTCTCTAGCTTCACTTTTTCCTGTTCAATGAACCCTCTTTCCTTTTTCTCCCTCCTTTTCTCCTCTAGTTTCTTCATCCTTCACCTCTCTTCTTTTATTCTCTTTCTTCCTCTTCCTTTTCCTCTCCTTCTCTCCCATCTTTGCAAACTTTATATCCTCCCCCTCCTTCCTTTATCTAACTCCTCCCCCCTCCCTTTCTCTACTCCCCTCCTTCTTCCTTTCCCTCCTACTCACTGGGCGACGCAGTGGGCGGCGGTGAGTACGTGAGTCTGGTCTATGAGGGAGCCTCCACAGAATTGCTTGTTCCTGTTGAAGAGGACCACCTGTAGGGGCAGACGAAGGGACTATTAGTGCAATGAGGTGGTGGTGGTGGTTGTGGTGGTGGTGGTGGTAATGGCGGTATTACTGGTGATAGTGGTAATACTGGCGCTGTCAGTGGTAATGTTGGTAGTACTGGTGGTGGTGGTAGCATTGTTGGTATTAGTAGTATTAGTAGTAGTGATCATAATAGTACGTGGGCTTGTAGTTGTAGTAGTGATGGAAGAGTGATAGTAGTGGTGGTAATGGTGGTAGTATTGGTGGTATAAGTTGTATTAGTAATAGTGATCGTAGTAGTACTTGGGCTGGTTGTTGTAGTAGTGAGACTGGTGGTACTGATGGGAGAATGGTGGTGGTGGTGGTGGTGGTGGTGGTGGTGGTGAAAACCCTTGCTTATAAATAATTAGAACAAGAACATTAAAAAACAGTTCTACAATAATTAATATTGAGGAAGAATGAACATTTGATAAGTAAGATTTGTTTTCTTTAGGTGGTGAAAGAATGGAAGGCATGCTGGGGCTCAAGGCACAGCCAGACATGAGGGATAGAGAAGTCACAACATATAGTCGTGGGGGGAAAGGTTGGAAAAGAAGTTTAATGAGTTAAACAGAGGGGGACGACACCCCTTGTTTTACATATTACAGAGTTTGTTGGCTAACTAAGCTAACCTAGGAGGTTGCACAATGGTTACTTTAGTAGACAATGACTAGATTGATTTTACAATTACATGTTTATCAAAATCTTATGACTGTATTACGTTATGGACTCACTAGATTGTGACTTGTTAAATGTGAACTTATATCATCTAAGTTTTAATCTAAGGTTGGATCACTATGGCGGACATAGATGGGTCGCGGGTTGAGTTGTTGTAGTGCGGGCAGACTCCGGGGCCACCAGGAGTGGGGTCTCCCTCCGTTGATGTCTTCCCCGTAGGTGGTCTGGGCTGTGAGGATCGTCCAGGAGCTTGTCCCAAACCTTCTTCCAAAGGCGCTGGAACCTGACGTTGAGGGCCTCTGTTTTATTTCTTAGGTGGATGGTTTCCACTGTCTCCTGGTAGGGTGGCGCTTGGCCACTGGCTGACCTCAAACACTTGTTTTGGAAGCTCTGTAGTTGTTGTAGTCTAGTCTTCCCGAGTGTGACGAGTGGTATATGTAGGTACTCCAACACAGGCCTCACCAGCGCCTTGTACAGGTGGACTTGTATCTTCTCATGCATCAGTTTAAAACGTTTTAATTTGACGGCGGCGACTTTGGCTTTCTTTAGTCTGTCCTTCAAGTGGGAAATAATGCCCGTCCGAGAGATGATGAGGCCAAACAACCTGCCTTGTTTAGAGTACTTAATTTCTTCGGCGTCGATCATCAATGGCGCCGGCTTGAATTTGGCTATGAGTATGATCTCGAATTTCGTTTTATTTGTTTTTATCTTCCATTTATTTTCATACTCCGAGATCTCCTCTGTCACTAGTGTCCGCCATAAGTTTCTGTTCTAGGTATGAAATACGCTGGTTTGGATGGTGTGTGGTTGGCTCGAACAGTTTCGCTCATTATTCGCCCACACTGACCGAGTCATCATTTAAGTATTAAATTTGTTTATCACATTATGTATTTATTGTATTATGTTTGATTGTATTGTTTGATTGTATTATGTTTGTATATAGGTTAGATAAGTGGAATTAATGTCAGTTGGGTAATTTATATAAAGTTTACGTTTTGGCCAATCAGGAGATGTTACGTTGGCTTTTGACGATTGATATTTGTTTTGCTTGATATTGATTTGGTGTGATCTTGTTGGACCTTCAGTCCTTACTCAGCCACTTCCCAACATCTTATCGTATTATTATTGTTGTTTATTTTTTTTTATTTACAGATGTGGTGGTGGGAATAAGTTAATAAATGTTCATATATTTTATTGACTTGTTTAGGTTTTGACCTGTTAGCTTGACCTTTGTTGGGGGAACTTGGGATTAAGAATATAATATTAAATACTGATATATTTGAAAGACTTAAGTGATTTGTGTTTATGTAACTATCTACCATCGGGGAGTAACATCCTCTATTCCCCGAGCAGTGAGTCGCTTCATCCTTGCCGTGGACCTTCCTGGGCAGGTGACAATCTGTGTCACATCGTCGGCATACATGGCGTACTCGATGCCGACGATTGGGGGAGGTAAGTCAGCCGTGTGGATCGTGTAAAGGGTTGGTGAGAGACAAGAGCCTTGAGGCACGCCGCTCGAGAGTGAGAATTGTTTCCCACAATGTTCTTGCATCTTGATTTTGGCTCTACGATCCGTAATGAAGTTCCACAGCAGGCGCGTCAGGTTTTCGGGTAGCCCCAGTTGTATGATCTTATACTGCAGCTCCGGGTGCCAAACTTTGTCAAACGCCTTGCTGACGTCCCTCAGCACTACGTTGCACTGAAAGCGGCCAGTCATGGCATTGGCGATCTGCTCGCAGGCCTGGGCTATGGCGGTGGATGTGCCTCGGTACTGACGGAAGCCGAAGTGGCGGGGATTATGCACGTCTTCGTCCTCCAGATACATCTGCAACCGCTTGTTTACTGTTTTTTCGAAGATTTTGGAAGGTACCTCAAGTAGCGAAATTGTTTCGAAAGTTATCTAATTTGTTTGGTATGAGGCGGATAACGGCGATTTTGAACATCTTGGGGAAGTATCCAGAGGCGAAGCAGGCGTTGCATATATGAGCAAGCCTCTCCATCATGTTGTCGGGGAGTTGAGCCAGGATTTTCTTGTTAATATGGCTTTGCCCAGGTGACTTGTTTTTAAACCCTTTTATGACGGCTGACACATCTGCAGGAACTATGAGCTCCGTCAGGTAGCTGTCGTCCACCAGTCTAGTGAAGTCAGTCCGTGCGATAGGCTGGAGCAGGTGCTGATGGTCCTGCAACTGACCTAAAATGTCCTCCTCAAACTCCCTGTGCTAGAGGTGGAACCCATAAGTCGCTTGATCCCTTTCCAGAAGGCAGCAGAATCGTGGTAATTGTTGGCTGCCTCCCACACCAAGGCGGCCCACTTTTGTTTATGTAGACGTTTGCTCTCGTGCTGGATGTCCGTCTGTAGCTCTCGGCACCGGTTTCTCAGCTCTTGCATACTGGCTAGCTGTCTCACGTGATCGTACTGGACACTGAGCTGCCTCAGCCCTCAGCTGGTGACTAGTGTGAGGGTGGGGAATGGTCCTGTGGGTGGTGGTCGGGATGTTGTTGTCCATCTCCGTCTTCACATCCGTGTACCATCGTTCGACCGCGTCGTTGATGTCATTGGGGCTGGCCTCTTCCAGATTCCTCCCCTGCTTGAAACTGAGAGACTCCTTGAAGGAGTCCCAGTCTGCCCGTTTGAGGTTTAACCTGATGTTGGCGGGGATCATAATGGGATTGGATGAGAGCGTTACGACGGCTGGCAGGTGATCGCTGGTGCTGATGGGTCTGGCGGTAACGTGCCTGTTCAGGACGGCCTCGTTGTTAGAGAGGATTATGTCGGGTGTTGTGGCACTGGCCCGAGGTGTTGGAGTTTTTCTCTTCTAATATCATACAGCGCCACACCGACGTTGTTCTCATTACCGTGTCCGTGTATGGCGTGGCGCGCATTTAAGTCCCCTGTGATGTATGTTGGTTTTATGTGGCGCAGCAGCTGGTTGAGGTCTTGTTCGGGTAAATAAGGACGTCTGGGAGATAGGTGCATTGTGCATATGATAACAGATCCCCTGGTGGTCTCTACCTGCACTTCTAGAACTGAATCCTCGAAGTCTATCAACACTCGGGACTCGGCCATGACCTGATGGCCACAGCGACACCGTCCTTGAACTCACCCGTCGTGTGTAGCCCAAAAATTTTTAGCTTACTTTCGTCCTTTATGCCAGTGCTGTTTAACAGAATGATGTCTGGGTCTAATTGATAGTATAGGTTAGACAGTTCGTTACGTCTACAAAGGGACCAGTGTAGGACATTATGTTGGACAATTTTCATCCTGCTAACGACTGCCATTTCAGAGACTGTAGCTTGGGACTTCGCTTGAAGTGTTTGCTCGGCTTCTGCCATTTCTAGGGGGCCGGAATTTCTTAGCAGAACCTTCGAACATCTGCTTGTCAGTTAATGGCCGTGTATAGGCGTGTACAAGAAGATGTTCAGGTCCTGGGCCTGCCTGTCAAAGTAATCTACTGACGCTGCAGCTCGAGGGTCTTGTTCCTCTGTGGAGTAAGTCGCCATCATCTGGTCACAACCATTGACTGTGGTTGCAGACCGATGGTCACTGTCGTCGCTGGGAGTACATGTATTGGGGTCACGGAGATTTACTGTGTCGCTGGAGCTGTGATCCCAAGAGGACTAACTGGCCACGTCGGGGTTACGGTTACACTGACTTTTGCCTAAGTCAGGGAGGTCAGGGTCCTTTTCTGGCGTGCGTTGAGGACGTCGATAAGTTGTTGAGTGGGTTACTGGCTTCAGGATTTCTTTTGAAGGGACTTCGTCGCTTATTTCAACAGGTGCAATGTTGTTCCTGGTTGAGGTGTTTCGAGAATGAACCTGGATGAACCATGTTCATGTGATGGACATGCGGGGAAGACAAGTATATAGTCGTGGCTTTGGACTCGTCCAGCTGTGGAGAGGAGACACTCCTGATGCTCTCCGCCACTACACTCCCTCATGGCGCCCAGTGACTCAGTAACTGCCTTCTTTAATGAGTCCTTGATGGTTCGTATCTCTGATTGTAGGACTTCCATGGTCTCGCTGACATTGTTGAGTTTTTGTGAGTCTGCTTGAGTTTCTTTCAGAGCGTCTTTTAGGGTTTGGCTGTAAGCCATGATCGTCGACTGAGTGGTCTTTTTTATGGTGTTAGATATTTCTCTTGTTTCTTTTTGCTCGGTTATTTCGGTCAGTTTCTTCTCTGTTTCTTGAGTTACCTGTTTCCTGACCAGGCAGGTGGCAGAGAAGGTCCTGTGGCCACCCTCGCAGACGACACACTTTTTTATGGTGCTACGGCAGTCTTTGTGGAAGTGCTGATCAGATGAACACTCAGAGCATATGATGCCCTTGCAGGGGGCAGTTCTTGGTCATGTGGTCATTGTATTTGTAGCACTTCATACATTGTTGGATGGGCGTATACTTTTCATATTCTATTTGGTGTGATGAAATGGAAGTGCCATATGCTAGAGCCCCTTCTCCTTCATTCTTTTTGTATCCGTTGTGTTTCTATAGCGAACCTTGATTATATTATGGGCATGGGTCCAGACAAAACCCACCTAGGACAAAACCCCCTTGGGTTAGGTTAGGTTAGGTTAGATTAGGTTAGGTTAGGTTACGTTAGGTTTGTTCAAGGGGGGATTTTTGTCCTGGGGGGTGTTTGTCCTGGGGGGTGTTTGTCCTGGGGGGTGTTTGTCCTGGGGGGGGTTTTGTCCTACTCTCTATGGGCTTACATAAAGTACACCTCCACAATCTTGACATTGTTTTGCTTTTCTATTTCATCTCATATTTCTTCTGCCCGCCAAGGTTCGCGTCGTTACCAAACAGCAGGGACTCTAGGCGAAAGGATAGGACAGGGAAGAAGAGTAGTTTTCAAGAATAACAATATCCATGCACAACAACAACATAAAGCAGCCAGAGTGAACCCAACATGAAAATCAAGGCTGACAGTCGTACGGTCAACAAGTCTGAACACGAGCTGGGAGCCACCAGCTCTGAAGGTTGGGTGCGTTGGATGAGTACACTGTATAAACCTTCCAGCTGATATAATAATTTTAGAGACCAATGTTAACTTATCTATAATAATAACATAAAGATTACTACTATTACTAATAATAATAATATACATTTATCTCTCTCTCTCTCTCTCTCTCTCTCTCTATATATATATATATATATATATATATATATATATATATATATATATATATATATATTTCATGTAAATCCACAATGAAAACGTGGATAAGATAAATCCCGTGATTTTATCAAGATATATATATATATATATATATATATATATATATATATATATATATATATATATTTATTTATTTATTTATTTATTTATATTATCACTCACTATCCAAGGGTGGGTGTGGGCGTCGGCTGCTTCTCCTCCACTTATCCTAAATCCTTCGTCTGGCGCAGCGTTGTAGAAAGTGGTTGGCGAACACGGGTCCTTCCCTTCATCTGACGACGTCGACGATGGAGGCGGTGGCGGAGGTGCTGGTGTCTTGATAGCTGGCCAAGGTAGACCACAAGGCCGTAGTTATTAGTGATTGATAAACTAGCTTCTTCTAATGGTCGATAGATGAATGAAAGTGATTGATAGATCGTGTAGTGGGTGATAGTTGGTGAAAGTAATGGGTAGGTAGAAGGAATACCCGATAGCTTGTGGGACTGGAGTAATGGGTTATGCATGAAATAATAGGAGTGGGAAAATTTGATAGAAATTGGGAGTATATAATAGATGGTGGGAATGAAAGGTCGAATGTGGGTAAATTCGATAAATATTAGGAATGAATTATTGGTGGTAAGAGTGGGTGATGTGGGTTACCTTGCTTAGTCTTCATGTTACACTAAATAGGAGTAATTGCCGAGTGACGATAATTTCTGTGCTTCTCTTCTTTTTCTTTTAAACATCTGACCGGCCAAAAGGGACCATGAACATCATCATTATGTATATTAATGAATAGTTTCACAGTAAACCTAACCTAACCTAAGCTAACCTAACCTAACCTACTTTAGGTATAATTTGGCTATCTTGTGATGTTAAACGACGTCTTAAATTAAATAGAGTAATATTTATTTTATACGAATTAATTTTCATTGAGTTATAGCAATAAGAATAAAGAAGTTATCCCTATTCGGTTTTTAAGGCTAAATCGGGTGGTGACGCGCGCATGTGTGTCAGGTAAGTTTACCTCGTATTAATTTTCTAACATAAATATCTAAGCAGTCTGTTTGCTTACAAAATTTAATTTCAATATCTAAAATTTAGTAAGATGAATCAAAAGGTGTAATCTAATTTTAGCTTTGGGTACCCAAAAAGACTAAATCTTTGTCAGGAGTTGGCTCGAACCCACGCCCTGAGAGAGGACCAGAATGCCCATTGCCCTTCTATCTGAAGAGAAGTTACCTTGAGTCTGGCGCCTTAGACCACTGGCCCATCCTGCCACGATTAGGGTTGAAATAAGTGTAGAGGCCAGCTTTTGGGCAGCTGTGTGACCAGTAATATGGAATTAGTGTAATGTAATGAAGCAAAACAGTAAACCCTCTCATAATGAACGAACTATGTAGATATGGGTGAGATTCTCCTCGGACTTCTTCGACCGAACCGAGAAGATGACTGATGTCTTCAATTGTCATGCATTACAGTCATGATCCCTTGGTGCTTCGCCATGAACAAAACAAATTATTCAACGCAGTACAGTTGCAGAAATGTGTTCCTACACACCTGTGGTAACTCGTGTCACCAAACGGCAACGTCGCAGTAGTAATATCACTATTTATGAATGACTGGGTATTGGTTGTGTAACGATGGACGTGACTGGTGGTTAGGTTTGCTAACAATGTTATTGGCCGTATAGGTTGGCCGTTTGGAAACACGGGTTAGCACAGGGGGTGTCAAAACACATTTCTGCAACTGTATTTTCCTATACTTTATATTATGCTCAGAGGTCCCAGTTGAAGGAGGCCTGTCCGAAGTTGTTTGGACTTATTAGTCCTCTTTGTCAAAACAGGAAACTCGATATGCGCGATGTCCTATGTCATGTTAGTGACTGTCCCCAGCACTGTACAGTACACACTCGGGCAAATTAAAACAAACCATCACCGATTTACTGTATTTCTAACTTTAGCAGCAACGAATCGCTTACCCTTGCCAAACTTTGACACCTTCCTGTTAAAATCAGACAAAGATGGTTTGTTTAATTCTCTAGAGCAGGCAGAGGCAGTGGTGTTCTTGTCGAGAACCGGAGGGTATTTTTTACCAACTTTTTTCTTAATTTTGAGACGTCTGTTTATAAGTTTACCATTGAAAATCATTTCCAGTAAAAAATACTCAGAAAAAATGAATTTGATGATTGTAAATAAATAAACTAAACATCTGATCCTAACTTGAATATTACCCAAACTACTTCTTAACTGAACAATGGTGACTAAGAACTGGTTTTGGGCTGCTTTAGGTGTGTGACAATGACAATGAGTGAGTCATGGAGATGTGGTAATTCTAGGTACTCTCTCCAAAAGGTATCTTGTGGAATTTCAAAATGAAACTACGAATCCTCTTGTCTCTTAAGGGTTGTCGAATCCTTCGCCCGTTGTGTCATATTGTCTCACACTAAATCGTATAGATACTTTTTGGAGCGATATACTGTACCTCATACTGGGCAGTGGCACATGTGTAAATATGTAGTTGTTGACGAAAACTAGTTCTACGTAAACACAGAAAAGTATTTAGATATGCAATGAATCCATAGCTATAAGGAATTACTCCCGTAAAAATTGAATTACAAATTACCACTTATAAAACACAGAGAAAGTGTATTATATTGCCTTCAGCAGGATTAGATGAATCAAATGATACAAAGCTCAGAAGTGGAACTTACGATCATCTGCCAGTGGCTTATGGGTTGGCCACCAGCTTGTCGTGGAGGGTGTGGAGGGTGTAGTGGGCGGGGAGGACCACCATGGGTTAGCGGTCGTAGTGGGTGGCCACCAGGGGTTCTGGGTGGCACTGCTGGGTGTTGGGTTCGACCAGGGGTTCTGGGTTTTGGGTGTTGAGTTCCACCAGGGTTTGTCGGTGATGGAAGGGTCATGGGTGATGAAGGGAGGGTGGGTAGGGTAGTTATTTAGTCCCGGATACCTCACCGAGGGTAGCTTGGATGCTCCTATAGGTGGGCCTCGAGGGGGTACATACTGGACGTGACTTCGATCCATCATCCCGGGACCAAAGTCTCCCTCCCCCTCCACCATCATGTACATATCCGCCGCCTCCGCTGACTGGTTCACCGCCTGCGGCATCTGCTCCACCACCAAGGACTCCACCTCGTTCGTATCATCGTCATCTTCTTGGTTGATGGCAGACTCCTTTTCACAGCACACTCCAAATACCTGTGTAGGGGCACTGTGTCTGTTACACCGGATCAAGAGAGAGAGAGAGAGAGAGAGAGAGAGTCCAATAATAGGTTACTTACGGTAAGTGTGTATGTCAAGTGGCCATTACATCACTAAATCAATCAATCAGAGTACCATCCTCATATATGAGGGTTGATGACCACAGTCCTCCACTCTAAACGTTCTTGGGTTATCTTTAAATAATCCTCCATGGTTTAGTACCTCTCTGGGGACCCAGTTTTTAATTTCAGTCATACATCCAAGTCTCTTCCTTCCCCTGGCCCCCTTACCCCCAACTTTGCCCATTAATGTTTCTGTTATTATCCCCTCATCCCAAATTATATGACCATAGCATCTCTTTTTTTCTATAAATTTCAAGTATTTCTCATGAAGTTTTTGTTAATCTTAGTATTTCTTCATTTGTTTTCCTGTCACTTTAGCTTATTCTTATCAATCATCTATAACACCACATTTCCAAAGCCTCCATCTTTTTCCTGGTGTCTGCTGAAAGTGTCTACGCCATGTAAAGCCTTTCAGCAACCTTTTTCTCACATTGAACTTAATGTCCTTTTTTCATAAGGTCTATCAGATAATTAAATGCTGTTTTTGCTTGCACTATTGTCGTTTTTAATTTCTTCCGCAGATCTACCTTTACACCTTATCTTACTTCCCAAATACAAAAAATTTTCCACTTGTTTAAGTTCCCTGTTCCTTACCATAATTTTACGATTTACTTCCAATTTGGACACAACCATAACTTTCTTCTTTACCTTCATTAGAGCCCAATTTGTGCTTTACCTTGTCAAGAGATTTTTAAAAATAAAAAAAGCAGATATGCAAATTTCTTTGGACCTCTAAAACCATTTCACTCAATATGTTCACACCAAACTGAGCTTCTCTAGTTCCTTTTCCCTTTCTAAACCCATTTTGGTCTTCATATAACCCACTTTCTAGCCTAAACTTTATCCTACTTAAAATTATTTTCATTAAATTTAGCAGGCATGACTTATTAAGCTTACCTCTAAAGCAGCTAGTAAATCACTGTTAGTTATTTTACTGTACATTAATTCCATTTGACATCTGAAATACTGCTATCATTAAGCCCACGTAAAATCTGACCACTCGTTGGAGGCAGTACAGATATAACACTTAATACCTTCAATAGACAAAGACGCATCGTTGCCGTCACTGCACTGGAGCTAGGTACTCACTCATAGCTGGATGGGCTTGGGTATGACCCTAGCGCGAGCCAGTGACACTAAGGAGGCGAGTGCTGTAACAACTCGGCCGCCGGTGCCAAATTTTCAGATACGATCCGTACATTCTAGGTCTCGTAAATAAGGACACAGAGATTGTATGTATATTCTGTATGCTGTATTTATATTATGTATGTATTTTATGTATGTGCTCCATTTATATACATTATTTATTTAGCCTAGCTAGTAGCGTGTGGCAATGTATTTATCAATGTCCCACATGCCTAATTAATGTGCCTGGCGACATATGGAAGCTGTTAATGTATCACTTCCCATACGTCGCCTAGAGAGCAGTTGACAACCAGACAGAGTGAGGAGCGGTACTCCCCTTGTGTACATATCTCTTATCCAGTAAATATAACCTACAAAACTATACAGGTGTTTGTGTTCGCTCCTGTATATAGAACATATTACCCAGAACACGAACAGAGATGGCAGCCACAAATGGGTTTTGCAAACTCATATACTCAATTAAAAGAAACATTAAACTTATCAGTCTAACACCATCATCGGTAATTGGACAGGTGTGAACATCTTATCAGGGAGCCTTGGTAGGTAAGTGGACAGGTGTGACCATATTACTAGGGAGCCTTGGTAGGTAAGTGGACAGGTGTGAACATCTTACCAGGGAGCCTTGGTAGGTAAGTGGACAGGTGTGAACATCTTACTAGGGAGCCTTGGTGGGTTATTGGACAGGTGTGAACATCTTACCAGGGAGCCTTGGTAGGTAAGTGGACAGGTGTGAACATATTACCATGGAGCCTTGGTGGATAATTGGACAGGTGTGAACATCTTACCAGGGAGCATTGGTAGGTAAGTGGACAGGTGTGAACATCTTACTAGGAAGCCTTGGTAGGTAAGTGGACAGGTGTGAACATCTTACCAGGGAGCCTTGGTAGGTAAGTGGACAGGTGTGAACATCTTACTAGGAAGCCTTGGTAGGTAAGTGGACAGGTGCCGAAGGTGTGGAGTAAGTGGACAGGTGTGAGACATACACCAGAGGGGGGCCTGGTGAGTGGACAGGTGTGAACATCTTACTAGGAAGCCTTGTAGGTGGACAGGTGTGAACATCTTGGAGCCATGGATAGGTGTGAACATCTTACCAGGGGCCTTGGTGGGTAGTGGACAGGTGTGAACATCTTACTAGGGAGCCTTGGTAGGTAAGTGGACAGGTGTGAACATCTTACCAGGGAGCCTTGGTGGGTAAGTGGACAGGTGTGAACATCTTACCAGGGAGCCTTGGTGGGTAAGTGGACAGGTGTCGTATATGCCGAAGACCCATGACTCGTGAAGGGGGATGTCTGGCAGCCTCAGGTAGCGGTAACACTCTCGGTGGGGTCGACACTCTCCCACGGAACTGTGTAAAGAGAAGTGGGCGAAGGTGTAGTGATGGAGAGATGGAGTGGGCAAAGGTATAGTGATGGAGTGGGCGATGGTGTAGTGATGGAGTGATGGCGTGGGCGAAGGTATAGTGATGGAGTGAGCGAAAGTGAAGTGATGGAGCGATGGCGTGGGCGAAGGTGTATTGATGGAGAGATGGAGTGGTCAAAGGCATAGTGATGGAGTGAGCGAAGGTGTAGTGATGGAGCGATGGCGTGGGCGAAGGTGTAGTGATGGGTGATGGAGTGGGCAAAGGTATAGTTATGGAGTGAGCGCAGAGGTGTAGTGATGGTGTGGGCGAAGGTGTTGTGATGGAGTGGACGAAGGGGTGTAGTGATGGTGTGGGCAGAAGGTGTTGTGATGGAGTGATGGGTGGGCAAAGGTATAGTGATGGAGTGAGCGGGTGTAGTGATGCAGCGATGGCGTGGGCGAAGGTGTAGTGATGGAGTGTTGGAGTAGGTGTAGTGATGGAGTGTTGGAGTGGGCGAAGGTGTAGTGATGGAGTGATGGAGTAGACGAAGGTGTAGTGATGGAGAGGACAAAGGTGTAGTGATGGAGTGGGCGAAGGTGTAGTGATGGTGAGATGGATTGGGTAAAGGTATAGTGATGGAGTGAGCAAAGGTGTAGTGATGGAGTGGGCGAGGTTGTAGTGATGGAGCGATGGCGTGGGCGAAGGTGTAGTGATAGAGTGGACGAAGGTGTAGTGATGGAGTGGGCGAAGGTGTTTGATGGAGTGATGGAGGGAGAATGTGTGGTGATGGGTGATGGAGGGGAGGTATAGTGATTGAGCGAAGGTGTAGTGATGGGGCGATGGCGTGGGCGAAAGTGATGGAGTGTTGGAGTGGGGAGATGTGATGGGAGGGACGAAGTGTGGTGATGGGTGAACAGAGGTCTAGTGATGGGTGATGGAGAGACGAAGGTGTGAAGTGATGGAGTGGACTAGTGATGGAGTGATGGGTGGACGAAGGTTAGTATTGATGGGTGACGAAGGATGGAGTGGACGAGGTGATGGAGTGATGAGACGAAGTGTTGGAGGAGGATGGAGTGGACGAGGTGGTGAGTGGAGTGGACGAAGGTGTAGTGATGGAGGGTGATGGAGTGGACGAGGGTGTAGTAATGGAGTGATGGAGTGGACGAAGGGGTAGTGATGGAGTGATGGAGTGGACGAGGTGGATGGAGTGATGGGTGAGCGAAGGTGTAGTGATGGAGTGATGGAGTGGACGAAGGTGTAGTAATGGAGTGATGGAGCAAAGGTAATGATGGAGTGAGGAGTGGACGAAGGTGCAGTGATGGAGTGATGGAGAGGACGAAGGTGTAGTAATGGAGTGATGGAGTGAGCGAAGGTGTAGTGATGGAGTGATGGAGAGGACGAAGGTGTAGTAATGGAGTGATGGAGTGAGCGAAGGTGTAGTGATGGAGTGATGGAGTGGGCAAAGGTATAGTTATGGCGTTGGCGAAGGTGTAGTGATGGAGTGGACGAAGGTGTAGTGATGGTGTGGGCGAAGGTGTTGTGAAGGAGTGATTGAGTGGGCAAAGGTGTATTGATGGAGTGATGGAGTGGACGAGGGTGTAATGATGGAATGATGGAGTGGACGAGAGTGTAATCATGGAGTGATAGAGTAAGCGAAGGTGTAGTGATGGAGTGATGGAGTGGACGAGGGTGTAATGATGGAGTGAAGGAGTGGACGAAGGTGTAGTGATGGAGTGATGGAGTGGACGAGGGTGTAGTAATGGAGTGATGGAGTGGACGAGGGTGTAGTGATGGAGTGATGGAGTGGACGAGGGTGTAATGATGGCGTGATGGCGTGAGCGAAGGTGTAGTGATGGAGTGATGGAGTGGACGAAGGTGTAGTAATGGGTGATGGGTGGACGAGGTGTAGTGAAGGGTGATGGGTGGACGAGGGTGTAGTAATGGAATGATGGAGTGAGCGAAGGTGTAGTGATGGGTGATGGGTGGACGAGGTGTGGTGATGGGTGATGTGATGGACGAGGGTGTAATGATGGGTGAAGGAGTGGACGAGGTGTAGTGATGGAGTGTTGGAGTGGACGAGGGGTGTAATGATGGAGTGATGGAGTGGGACGAAGGTGTAGTGATGGAGTGATGGAGTGATGGAGTGGACGAAGGTGTAATGATGGAGTGGACGAGGTGGAGTGATGGCGTGGACGGTTGTAGTGATGGGTGATGGGTGGACGAAGGTGTAGTAATGGGTGATGGAGGACGAAAGTGTATTAATGGAGTGATGGAGTGAGCGAAGGTGTAGTGATGGAGTGATGGAGTGGGCAAAGGTATAGTGGTGGGTGATGGATTGGACAAAGGTGTAGTGATGGAGTGGACGAAGGTGTAGTGATGGAGTGATGGAGTGGTCGAAGGTGTAGTGATGGAGTGATGGAGTGGTCGAAGGTGTAGTGATGGAGTGGGCGTGACTATAGTTGCATAGAGTGGATGTGGCAGTAGGTGTGGTGGGCTGTGTTGGTGGGTGCAGGTGTGGTGGTTGTAGGTGTGGTGGGCAGTGTTGGTATATGTAGGTATGGTGGGCAATGTCGGTGGGTGTAAGTATGGTGGGCAGTGTTGGCGGGTGTAGGTGTGGAGGGAAGTGTTGCTGGGTGTAGGTGTGGAGGGAAGTGTTGGTGGGTGTAGGTGTGGTGGGCAGTGTTGGCGGGTGTATTTGTGGTGGCTGTGTGGGTGGGCTAATTTTGTATCTCTCTCTCTCTCATCTGTCTCACCCTGATTTGAGTTGAATATATTTTTATCGGCTTTTAACTCCCGGTATCTCTCGCATTCATTCTATTTCTCTTTCATTAATCATCTCTCGTTCTCACTCTTTATTTCTTATTATTATGTGTTATTCCTCTCTCATTATCCATCTATCCATGATTCCTCTCTTTCCTTATCAATTATCCGTCGATTTATCTTTCTGTCTATATATCTACATATCAATCTTCCTTCCATTTATCTTACTGCTTTTATATACATCATAAAACCCGCTTTGATATGCTATCCATCTATCAATCTATCTATCTATCTATCTATCTATCTATCTATCTATTTATCTATCTGTCTATCCATCTGGAATACCCACCTTGATTTCCGGTGCCAACAGGCTGATGGGGTCAGTGAGGGGTCTTGAAGGGGGGATCGAGCTACAGATCCCGGGTTGACGAAGGAATCCGAGCCCACTGGCAAGAGCCTTATTATAGGTGGAGGCTGGTAGTCCCCTGGCGTGTCATCGATCCTTACTCTGGTGGCCGCTGCTGCCTCTGGTGGGGGTAGATGGTAAGATATTTTGAGGGAGTGATTTTTCATTGTGGAGAGAGAGAGAGAGAGAGAGAGAGAGAGAGAGAGAGAGAGAGAGAGGGAGGCTGCAGGAGGTAAAAAAAAAATTAAGAAATAAAAAAAACATCAGAAAGAAAACAATATAGAGCGGAGAATTAAAAATGTAGCAATGTTATTTTTAAGAAACAGAGGTAAGGGCGAAAGAGAGACGGAAAAACAAAACAGAAAAAAATGAGAATCAAACAACAGACAAAGGACAAAGGTCATGCACTGGTCAGCGCCCTCCCCCCCACCCCTTCTCTCTCTCTCACCTGTTATGATGATTCACAGTTACCATGGCGACAACTGCCCTATGCGCCATGTGGTCTCCCAAAGAATCACACAAACATCCAGTCATACTTTACGACTGAAACCTCACGACAAGACATTATCCGCAGAGCTAGAGTGTGTGCATATGCAAATAGACTTCGGAATGAATTGGCGGACGAGATTCCACAAGAGAATTTATGCTCTCGTAATCTTTCTCGTTGCTGTTACGAGAAGCTCCTAAAGTTCCTCGAGCTCCTTTTTCTAAAAATAACTTCAGTTTCCTTTTGTTATCTAAGTAATGATCGGTCGGTGTCATATTGTTAAGGTAACATCTTATGTACAGTATGTTTTCATCTTTCAAGTTGTCGTCTACCTGTCATATCTTAAGGTGGGTTTTTCGTCTCATACTTACGTTAATTAATGAGCTTTTAAGAATTTGATAAGTGGTTCTGTTTTGGGGCTAAGGAGTTTCAAGGCTGTGTAAGGGGTTTCATTCTTAGATAAAGACGTTTTAAGGTAGGTTAAGGTCTACGTACTTAAGTTAAAGTGTTTTCAGGTAAGTTATAGGTTTTATACTTACGTTAAAGTGGCTAAAATATCCACTACAATATTTCACTTAAGTTAACAAAAAAGTGGGGTGAAGTCAACCCTGAAACACCGTGAAGGTAGCCAGGTAGAGTGATCCTACAGCTAGGAGTGAAATAAACTAAATATACTTTAAATGCTACCTCCCCATTCTCATATTTCTCTCTCTCTCTCTCTTCTATTTTCTTTATTATTTATCCTATAACACTTCGTAATTTTGCCAAACATTATCACTATTTTGTGTTTATTGCTTTTACTTCTTGAAATTTAGTTGATATAAGGTAAAGTTGGCTTTGTTTCATTTGTTTGTCGTTTACCATTATGTAATAGTCAACTTATTCCTACATTTGGTTGAGTTATGTTAGTAATGGTGTTGTTTACTCATAGTTTGTATCATCATTATTATCTACATGATTGTCCCTACATACAAACCAGTTGGAAAACTGGAACAAATTATATACAAAGTTAAGAAATATGGCTGTTAAACACACAAACATAATGCACACCCAGGGTCCGCCGTACACTCACCACCACCAACACTGGATGAGAAACCAAGAAACACTCCAAACTACACCAAGAGAGAAATGCGAACTCCCAACTGCGTCCAAGTGAGGAACTATGAATTTCTAACTACATCACATGAGGAACAAGAACCATCTCCAACACCCCGCGTGAGCTGAAGGACCACGTGATGGATGTGCTAAACATGTGCAGCTGTAGTGAAGGAGCGGCCCTTAGCACCTTGGTACGAAGGCCATCCAAACCGTGGGAAGGACTTTATTGGCGCCACTATCAATTTACAACACCAGCTCCACCAGCGCCAGATCTATAGTTACAGGTAATCTATATCTATATCGGCATAGACAGCAACATAAGTAAATTTGCTGATGACACTAAAATAGGACGTGTTATCAAATCTGACGAGGACTCGGCAAAACTACAGGAAGATCTAAACAAATTTTTCGAATGGTCTGAAAAATGGCAGATGAAATTCAACGTCGACAAATGTAAAGTACTCAGTATAGGATATGTAAACAGGGAAACCAGATACCAGATGAACAACGATGCCATAGAGAAATCCGACTGCGAGAGAGATTTAGGAGTAATGATAAGTAGGAACCTTAAGCCAAGTAAACAATGTGCTTTTGCTCGTAACAAGGCTAATAAAGTACTTGGGTTCATACAAAAGAGTGTTAGTTACAAGACTAGCGAGGTCATCCTAAAACTGTATCTTGCTCTTGTGAGACCACACCTGGATTACGCAGTTCAGTTTTGGTCACCGTATTACAGAATGGATATAGAATCCTTGGAAAGAATTCAGAGGAGAATGACAAGACTAATCCCGGGCATTAGGAACCTTGAGTATAGAGACAGGTTAAAGCATCTTAATTTGCACTCCCTTGAGAGACGTAGAGCGAGGGGCGACCTGATAGAGGTGTATAAGTGGAAGGCAGGGCTAAACAAAGGGGACATTACAAAGGTACTCAAATTATCCAACCAAGAGCGAACCCGTAACAATGGTTTTAAATTAGACAAATCTAGATTTAGGCGTGAAATAGGTAAACACTGGTTTGGAAACAGAGTAGTGGATGAATGGAACAAGTTACCAAATATCATCATTAACTCGAATTCGCTGAATTGCTTCAAACATAAGTTGGATGCTCATATGAGCAATAGGGGTTGGGTGTAAACGGGACTGCCCAGTATGGGCCAATAGGCCCGCTGCAGTTTCCTCCATTCTTATGTTCTTATGTTCTTATATCTTCACTAATGTGATGTATACAGTATGTAGAATGAAAGACAAAAGTCGTGTCGTGAAATTTGGTGGAAACATATGCCGAAGGGCTAAACTTTTGGTGTGCTCTGCCTTGTGTTGGGGCTCTCATAAGGTTTCACAAGTTATATTTAATCTTCGGACAAAATCGCGACACGACTTTTGTCTTTGATTATACACACACACACACACACACACACACACACACACACACACACACACACACACACACACACACACACACACACACACACACGCGCAGTCATTGTCCTTCGTAGATAAGATCAGAGAGTTACGTTACCACGCACAACAAACATGGAAGCAGTGGTCCAACATTCCTCTCATAAAACTCACTACCATTGTCTTCCTGTTTGCGTCTGCCACCTGTCATCCTCCTCCTCCTCCTCCTCTCCCGTCCTCCTTCCTTCCCTCCTGTTCCCTCCCACCTTCGTTTCTTACCTTTTCCTTCGTACCTCCCCTCCTACCCATTTTCAATTCCCTTCTTTTTTCCTCTCCTATCCTTCCTTTCTTCCTGCCTTTATTCCTCTCTTCCTTATTACCTTCCTGCTTACCTGTGTCCTTCCTTCTCTCTTTCTCTCCCGCTTTGCCTCACCCCCTCTCTGCCTGCCTCCCTCCCTCTGTTTACTGTTGACCTGCTTCTCTTCTCCCGTCCTCCTTTCTTTCCTCCTGTTCCCTCCCACCTTCTCTCCTTTCCTTTCCCTTCCTACCTCTCCTCTTACCCATTTCCAGTTCCCTTCTTTTTCCTCTCCCATCCTAACTTTCTTCTTGCCTGTATTCCTCTCTTCTTTATTACCCCCCTGCCTACCTGTCTCCATCCCTCTGTCTACCATTGACCTGTACCAGCTAGTTTATGTTCCTTCTGCAGAATTTAAATTAGTCTTGAAGGCGTGTTTTGTCGAGTGGCTGAACACATGGTTTATGGACATTACCTTTTTTAATTATCTTTTTCTCTTCTTATATTTCTTTCTGGGTTTTTTTCTCTGCGTTCGTTTGTTCTTCCGTCTCCTTTATCCTTTATTTATTTCACTCCATGTTTCTCTTTAAATTTCACCTTATATTACTCTCACTCTTATCTTTCTCTCCTTCCCAATATCTTAATCGTCCTCCCAGTCTCTCTCTCTCTCTCTCTCTCTCTTACACACACACACACAGAGGTCAATCGTATATTATCACAAAGTCAATCAATAATTCATCGCGTCCCTGCCTTCATGACATTGTGGATCCAACTTCTTTTGATTTATAGATGTGTAAAACCTGGCCCAGTTGTTTGTGTAGTGGTGATGATTATGGTGGTGATGATGATGATGAAAGTAGGTGATGATGATGATGATGATGATGATGATGATGATGATGATGATGATGATGATGATGATGATGATGATGTGATGGTGATGATGATGATGATAATGACAGTAGGTGATGAAGATGATGATGATGATGATGATGATGGTGATGATGATGATGATGATGATGATGATGTGATGATGATGATGATGATGATGATGATGATGATGATGATGATGATGATGTGATGATGATGATGATGATGATGATAATGACAGTAGGTGATGAAGATGATAATGATGATGATGATGATGATGATGATGAAAGTAGGTGATGAAGATGATGATGATGATGATGATGATGATGATGATAATGACAGTAGGTGATGAAGATGATGATGATGATGATGATGATGATGACATAAGAACATAAGAATGGAGGAAACTGCAGCGGGCCTATTGGCCCATACTGGGCAGTCCCACTTACACCCAGCCCCTATTGCTCATATATCCATCCAACCTATGTTTGAAGCTATCCAGCGTATTCGACTTAATGCTGATGTTTGGTAACTTGTTCCATTCATCCACTACTCTATTTCTAAACCAATGTTGACCAATTTCGCGCCTAAATCTAAATTTGTCAAATTTAATACCATTGTTACGAGTTCGCTCCTGGTTGGATAGTTTGAGTACCTTTGTAATATGTCCCCTTTGCTTAGCCCTGACTTCCATTTATACACCTCTATCAAATCGCCCCTCACTCTACGTCTCTCGAGGGAGTGCAAATTAAGATGCTTTAACCTGTGTCTGTACTTGAGGTTCCTGATGCCCTGAATTAGTCTTATCATTCTCCTCTGAATTCTTTCTAGGGATTCTATATCCATTCTGTAATACGGTGACCAGAATTGAACTGCGTAATCCAAGTGAGGTCTCACAAGCGCAAGATATAGTTTTAGGATGACCTCTCTAGTCTTGTAACTAACACTCCTTTGTATAAACCCAAGTTCTTTATTAGCCTTGTTTCGAGCAAATACACATTGTTTACTTGGTTTAAGATT